AACGATTGGACCCCTGGACCCCAACCTTTGAAACGAGAACCCTTCTGCTACGCATTCGGGAATTGTAGCGCGCAGCAGCAGTTTTACAGCCGTGACAACCCGGGTTCGCCTTTTATTTTTAAATTGATCCTTTTTTATTTTTATTTTTGATCCTGGGTTTTTTATTTTTATTTTGATCCTTTTGTAGTTTTTCGATCCGGCAGCCCTGTGTTTGAATTGTGAGGTATTGCTCCGCGACAGATTTCACCATGCGCTTGACGATCGGCTACTTGGTGGCCAAGCATTGCCTCCGAGTCTGCCAACTTTGCGTGTGCGGCTTCCGAGCAGCTTGTACTGTTCGTAGGCCAGAGCACAACAGAAGTCTCTTGGGAAGCGATGCGCGGGAAACCGGCGGCGAGTTCGCCCTCGTCTGCAGGATGTGCTCATGCGCAGTCCTTCCCGCAGACGCAGGACGAGACCGGAATATCCGGCTTCGTGGGTGTTTCTGTGCAGACTTTTTTCACAACATCATCCACATGCCATGTAGTGAAGCACAAGGACACAAACACAGGTCCTGCATTTCGTTTTGCCGTAGGCTACATTCATGCTACATTAATGCAGGCTTCAATTAATGTGGTAGGCCACCTGAAGCTCCCGCTCTAAGAGGATCACCACACGGCCGTGCACTCGCTGCCGGTCGATGTTGTGGCTGCTGCAGTGGTGGATTTGTTAGAGCCTCGGCAAGCGAGAAGGGAAGGGGGGAGGGTTGGGATACTCCGAGCACTAAAGTATCACTTTCCAATCCAAGGATTCATCCATGCAGGGGGCCGCCAACATCGTGCCCCTTGGCTCTGGCCCTCTTGCTCCGAAGCATGGGCCCTTTGAGGACATCAGAATGCAAACCCAGTTTCCCGGAACCTGCAAAGTCTTCGATGCTTCAAGCTTGCAAAACCGGACACGAAGTCCCGCCGAGTTTCCACCAAGGGTGGTAACATTGACGCACCATCCCTTCAACACCCTTCAAGGAGTGGGGCGCCCCTCCTGCGCATGGCAGAGCTGCAGCAATGGCTGCTTGATGGAACGCGGCTCCGGGTGAAGCCTTCGAAGTTCTTGCACATCGACCTGCGTGTCAGTTGGACGAGCGCCATGTTCAGGGCTACTGATGTGATTCATGCGATTTCAACAGTATTGGACCCCATTCCGTAGTTCTAAACCCTCCCTCCGACACTCTTCTTCCGCACTTCCTCCGCACTTCTCCGAGGCTGCTTCGGTCGGAGATGCCCGAGTTCAGCCAATTGCTCGTGCTACCGTTCCCGGAGTGGATTCGAAAAGTAGAAGAGGAGGCCAGTTGCACAAACCGGTACTCGTACTTTGCTTGCTACATCTTTCTTCTATAGATATAAGTAGTATCTCACGTTGACTTGGATCCTGGGAGTCCTACAAGGTCGGGTGGAGGGACCACCTTTCACCAGCTATTGTATTGATAGAGCGCTGGCTGTCGCTGGTGGCTTCTTCGAAAGTTCTCCTGACTGCAACAGCCTTTATCTATACACGCGTGAACTTGACCGTGGCTGCCTTGGACAGTGTTCTGTTTTGTGAGGCACAGTTGTCCGCCTGGCCGGTCATCGGATGGGCAAAGGGCCATGCGGAGTTTCCAGCCGCTTGCATCGCATGGGACGCACGGCTGTGAGGCTTTGGAGGCTTTTCAGACGAGACTGATGGAAGCTGAGTCCCTTCCCATCTCTCGAGCATGTGGAGCAACTAGATCAAGAAGTGACAGTAGCTGTAGATCTCCCGCTCTGTGTCTCTTGCAGGTTTTCAACACACGGCACCCCGAGCTCAATGCTCCTTGGGCGCGGCAAGAGACCCTGGAAGGTGCAGTGGGCGCTGAGGGAAACGAAGGGCGAGAGGGCCGGCGAGTTCAGAGCCTACTGTATGTGGCTAATTGCAGTTTTCAGACATGGGGCCAGGACGAGTTGTTGAACAGAGGTATGAAGAAAACCATGCTCCGGATGGAATCAGCAAGCCACACTCAGGAGCTCATTCGAAGACACCGGCCAAACGTCTGAGATTGAAAAACAAATGTGAAGCGTTCATGACCTGGAGGTTTGCGCCGGGGCTTGGATGAGGACATGGCCTGGTCTTTCTCACAATTCGTGGCTATTGCCTGTTGCGGAGCAGCATGTCTTCCCACCTCGCGTTCCATCTTCTTCGCCAGGCCTTTTTTTCAAACAGAGTGGATATTTTTTGTGTGTGAGAGTTGTGATGCACCTACTGCCCCTGCAAGCCAGGACTGTTTCCGAAGGATGCTCCGCTTCATCTTCGTCTCCGTGCCCTGCCACGAAGCACGGGAGACTGCCAGGCAGTGAATGCGGGAGGTGATCGATGTTTCAGTCAACAGTCACACCATGTAGGACTTCAGGACGGGAGTCCAGGCGTCAAATAATGTAGCAGCAACATCTGCGAGATCGGTGCTTTTTGTCTGAGTGACGGTTGGGAATTTCACTCTTCTTTCGCCCTCGGACTTGTTGCACCTGGACTTGTTCCTGAACCTCGGGACCCTGTTTTAGAATTCTAGACCCTGGCATGGACTTCGAAGGAACTCCTTGGAGACCCAAGCCTGTTCAACCAGCAAGCTGAGGGGCCTCTGGCACCAAAGTCACCGCGGCGGCGGCTCCGGGCAGTCGTCACAGCTGTGCCTCGGACCTCCATGCCTTCCTGCTGTTTCATGATGTTTCGCTATGGCAACCTCTGGCGCGTCAAACCAGGGTGGGGGCCTGCAGGTATGCTCCTGGCTGTAGGTGCATAAGGCTGGCGGGGCTACCAGGACACTCTAAGTAGAAGTCGACGCAGGACCGAATGAGGCCCGAACGTAGCGTGTCCATGTGTTGAAGGCATGTGCCACAAGCGAAGAGTAAACACTCCGAGGTCAGAGCCATGCGGCTGGGGCACTGAGTGGAAGTCAGACTGGCGTCCACCACGCGCAAACCTGCCCTTGTGCGGTTTATGGGGAGCATCGTCACTCACGAGTCTCTCGTTTGCCACAAGCCTGCTTCGGTATCTCCCGGTGCTCTGTTCGCATCCGGGGATTCGGCTCACGTGGACCTGGCTTCAATTGGGGTCGGTATCTGACGACGGTCTATGGACGAGACAGCTTGTTGACAAAGCTGCGACAAGCCGTCCATGGATGTTTTCCAACGAGCGACCGCTCTGTTCGTCGCGTTGCTTCGCTCGCATTTGGAAGAGCCAAAAAGGTGTATTTGGGAGCAGACATGCATGTTGCCGCATGTGCAGCATTGGCCGAGGTCTTCATCCGACAGCTGTAAGCTATGCCATCCTGGAGAGGACTTGTAGCATTGTGAGCCCACTGCAGAGTGGCGAACGAATCCCTCCGAACAGCAAGAGGTGTGGTCCGCTACAGCTGGCTGAACATCAACACAACTACTATTGAGCATCCATGCGTGTGCAAGCGATCCATAGAATTCAAAAGCCTCGACTGTTCCCCAACCTACAGGTTGCCCTCCATCCAACATCTAGCGCTTCACATGATTACGACATACTGGCCGACATACGGATGGAACTCGCAGTGTCGTGTCACACCTTCGCAGGAGTTTCTGGGACGCCGAGCTCCGTCACGCCCTGCGCGCGCGGCTACGGGGTGGACTGGGAGGGCGCTGCCATGCCAGGACCTCGGCACAAGCAAGTGGTGCAAAGTGGGACTAAGAAGGTGAATATTGAAGGGTTTTCTGAAGTCGGTTTGTTTCTGAGCTCTTCAGGATGCGGCAGCATCCGAACACTTGTATATGTGTCTCCAGGATGTGTAGAGATTTTGCCTTGGGACCGAGGCTTGCTTCCCACACGGTGCAAGATTGGACTCTGGAAGGTTAGACCTATTGATATTAACGCCTCGGGCCCTGAGACTTCTGAGGATGACAGCCGTGTGGAGTTCCTCCTGAGGACCTGGAGTCGGTGTTTGTGTCAAGAGCCGCAGTCGTTTGGCAGAGGGTGCGTCCACCATAAAACCTATGGTGGTCATGCTTTGAAGAGCCTGTAAGTCTCAAGCTTTCTTTATGTAGCTGCGCTCGGTTCATGCCAGGAATCGCGACAGGCTTGGAGAGATGGATTGGGACCGCCTCTCCCAGGCATGGGATCTGTGTTGAAGCATGGAACTCCAAGTGCCACAAAGTCAGTTGGTGATGATTGACAGCGGGGAGGGCAGAGATGATGGATGCGTGGTAACGACTTTCCTGGCTTGTGTGCTTGAGGGCGTTGTGGCCCAGAGGTGTGTGCCAAGCGGGAATGTCCAAGTTATGCACAGTTCACCTGCAGCAAGCTGCAAGCAGTCACTGCTTGCCGGTTAAGTTATTTTTGGTGTTCGTTGGACCGCTCCGTAATTGCAGTAGCCATGGCCTCGCGTGGCGAGAAACGACCGCTGAGAGCACCAGCAACGCCGCAGGCAGGAGCTCCCGCTTGGATCCGCTTGGCTCTCTTTTGGCTGCTTCCCCACACATGAGCAGAACTTGTCGAGGCTGGGAAGCTTCCGTGGCTTCGCAAGCGGCTGCCACCGGCAGTCACAGGTCTTCGCCTCTACGAGACGCTGTGGCTTTGGCTTGAAGCCTCCAGAAGTTCGAGTTAAGGCCTCAACGGTTCCGGATCTTGTGCCGAACGGTTCCTGCATCAGTTGGGTTGCTTTTCGTGAACAACCTGGTCGCCGTTAGAGGCCTACCACGGCGAAGTCTGATGCGTAGCCGACAATGGAGACGGATGCCTCACATAAAGGAGCCTCAACCGACGGTCCCCTTTCTTCTATTCTCAGGTCCACCGCCAAGCGTCGAGAGTGATGTGGTGCTGATGCACTAATAATGGCTAGCGTGCAGCATACTTTGAGAGCACCCTTTTGTCTTCGAGGCACCGGGAGTACGCCAGGGCACTGCAAGAGGAGGTGCTGCGACAGCATGCTCCTGATTTTAAGCTCCTTTCATTTATGTTTCTTAGCAGGACAATGAATGCTGCATGGTTGCTGTAGATGAATATATAGTCTTGTTGCGACAGTCTTCGCACACGCACTCTGTCGACTTTCTGTGGGCTGTGGTTCGAACTGGGCTTTGCAAACAGGTGGCGGATCTTTCAGGCAGTTATAGGCAGTTGTTTTTGATCCGTGTTGCATCTGTGATGTTAGCCGAGGCAATCATCCGAACTGTAAAGTCATGTCACGTCCAACAAGGTGAACTGCAAAGTTTAACTGGCACTATCAAGTCGTGACTTGTCCCGAAAAGCCTGCAAATGCCGTCAAAGCACGCTTATACTCTGCTCTCACTTGACAACTGAAGCAGCCGTGCCGTATTGGAGCATCGTGGCAGGGACTGACAGTGGCAATGTCGCGCGTCGCCGATACGGCTTCGGAGAAGCCACCTGACGGGACTGAGCTGCAGGCCACATTGTCCAAAACAACCATAATTGAACAGGAAATCCGCAAATCCCACAGTCGTTCTCGAAGCTACAGAGCAGGATGTCCGATGCCCGTTCTGTCCCGAGATGTCCCGAGTGGCCAATGACGACTTCGTGAGGGCACTAGAGTCTGGTGACGCAGGACCCAGGGCGGGCAGTGCTTTTCTTGGCAAGCACTGGCCATGCTTTTCGAGAGCATGAATGCCGAACCTGGGGGCTCAGGTATGCAGAGCTACACAGGACAGCGCTCGAACTCCTGAGGTGCCCGGGAAGTTCGGGATGGCCGGAGGTTGCCAGAGCTAGTCCAAGGTTTCCAGTTTTTGGTTATGAGGTGAGCTTGGCAAGCCTCCACTCTCCCGCCCCTCCTTTGACATGTCATATCCCATGCAGCAAGCATCGGATCTCTGAAGAGGTCCGTGGCCAGCCGCCATCGCGAGAGTGGCAGCCGATCGTTGGCCAACTACGACGTGCTCATTTTCCGGCGCCTGAGTCTTCTTTGTGATAAGCTTGTGTTGATGTTGTTCATGGTGATGGTGGTGATTTTTGCTAAGCGGCCCCATTTCATCCTCGCCTTGGCGTCAGGACTTCCAGGTTTGGCTTGTGGCCGGCTGTAATTACAAGTAATCGAAGAACTTCTCGAAGCCCGCGGGAATTTAAGATGCTGGCCACAGCAAAGTGATCATGTTCTCTGGACATTGAAAGCACTGGAGCTTTTTTGCTTTTGGTGAAAAGAAACAGAATTTCGCATCAAATGCAAAACTCAGGCTGTGGGTACATGCATTTATGATACATAACTCATGTCAATATGTTCCTCGGCTTGTCAAGCGCTTTCGGGACACCCCTTCTCTAGTGGCTTCTGATCAGGTTGTGTTGATGCTGTTGATGCTGCCCAGCTCCCTACGTCCAACACGAATTGTCAGTGAGCTGAACTACATGCTGAAATATCCTGAAGAAATGATATCAAGAACCTGGTTTGAAAACTCACCAAGGGGAGAGGCTTGCGGCAACCGGCGCCGCAACCTTTCAGTGCCCTGGTAGGACAGGGGACACCGGCCTGAAGGTTCGACGAATGCATGGCTCGCTCGGTGTATGGGTGAGCTCTCGGAGCAATTCTGAGTTGGGGGTTCTTCGCGCACAGTCTGAGTTTGCATGTTCACGGGCTTTTGCCATTTGGGATGTACCGCAGCTGCACGGCATCGTCAGCATTGAAGTTGTGCGGCATTGCTGAAACCGGGTACCCAGCATGATGTAGCCACACTTTGAGGGAAGTTGTGCTTTAGGTACGTCTGGCAAGCCTCCGCCGACGCCGGGGCAAAGTGCGGGAGGCAGCGCAGTGATGATGGGGAGTTTGAAGCTTTGTGTAGTTAAGCTATTGGGTTGGTGCGAGGATGGGCCGGCCCAAAACAACACAATAATTTGCAACATACGGCTTGAACCCTGTGCCAAATGATTTGGCACTATTCCAATCGAAGTCCAGTCTGCTGCATTGTTTTCTCTTGTGCACTCGTATACACACGTGTGCGCATCATGCGCTCGTTGCAGGCCCTTTGCTCCGTGTTGGCAGCGCTTTGCCGGGAGCCCATGCGTGGCTTTGGGGTCGAAAGGTCCGCGGAGTTCGGCTTGTAGATTCTTTCGCACTCATCTCGCAGGCAAGTAGGATCGAAGCACATGCAAGAGCTGCTGGTGCAGCACAGCCGCACACAGTGTTGAGGATCTTGCAGCAGGCCGGACATGTCCGACAGCTCCTTCCCCTGCGCTCCGGAAGTGTACCAAGCAGAATCACACAGCTGAAGGTCTAGAACCGTGGTATGAAGATTTAGATCAAGGCCTAAGCCGGTCACTGCCTCGCTCTACAGGTTGCCGCTTGCAGAAGAACTGGCTCGCGGCGTACGACGAGGAGGCACAGACCGCAGAGAGGAACTTTCGAGACGCCAAGCCCCGGACTGTACACCCAAGCAGCTGGTTGGATGCGCACCCTGTTCGTGGCCGATCTCGCCCATCTTGCGCAGGAGCCGGTGCGTGGCTACTTTGCCCATTCTTTGGTCGAGGCTTGGAGCAGTCGAGCAGTCCTGTAGCCGGAATTCCGTGTGTGTGAGAGCCTTCACTCCAGACTCCAGACTCCTTGACTACTCTGCCTCTGAAGCCTTGCAGGAGCACCCCATCGCCGTACTCCGTGAATCTACATCTAAAACCTTGCCTGTTCCTGTGGAGGCGAGCTCTGTCTTCCGTGTGGCCCTGCGCCCCGGGCGCCCGCTGCGCCAAGAACCGAGCTTCTGTACACACCTGGCGGACGATTCACAGCCGGAGCGCTCCCAAGACCCTGAAACTATCGGCAGAAAAGGAGATAGGTCGGAGGGGGAGCCCTTGAACATCCACAGTCCCAGGCCTTGCCTCACTCCTGATCTATCAGGACTGGAAGGGATGCTGTTTCCAGCAGAAGCTATCCCCGACTGCATCCAGCCCTGTGCATGCTGCATTCTCCCCTACGCGGGAAAGAGCACTGAAACGAGCGAAGACAGGAGCTCCCGCTGGCACAAGCGCTGGCCGCCATGGACCACGGCGGACCCTTCCCTGAGGCTTGAACCAGGGTGTCACCTCCCTCAAGTTCGGGTGTGGGACGATCACCGCCGCTCAATAGACTAGGATTCTAAATTCTCAGCTGGCCCGGAGCTCAAGGGTGTTGCAAAGACGAGGACGCCTTCTTGTGATCCTTTCCATGTCTGTCCAGTTTCAATGAGCACGACTTGTCTACGTGGCAGCGTGTCCATGCCAAAGTCCAGCACAGGGCCACGAGAAGGAGCCAATCGGCGAGCGCCGCTACGGCTTGTCCTTTGGCCGAGCTTAAGACTGAGAGCACTCTGCTTCGATGCCCTTCGATGCTCCAAAAGAGTCCCTCATGGCTAGAGCTCTGGAGAGCGACGAGCCTCTCGGTGCTCGAGAGACAGGCCCCCCCAATCTTCAAGCCACTTTGCATGTTCTCAACTCGTACGAAACGTCTGCAGGAGCATTTGGGAATGTATTGCCCGGAGAGAGTGCGCAAATAACAGGGCTGGTGATGGGCCATTCGCTTCAACATCCCTCACGATCTGTTCAAAAAGTGCCGCCCAGGCAGCGCGTTGGGGTGGAAGGCTGCCCCGGTGAGGCGGGAGCAAGGGCTTCGCTTCGTGCACGTCCAGAGTGGAGCCCCTGGCAGCATTGCTAATGAGGGCATCAATGCATGACCTGATGTAGGTACATACAATCCACAAACTTGTGGGCATGTGTCTATGTGCATATGCTTCAATCCGTACTGACATATGCAGATTTGGGCATGGTTTGCGTCTTCGTTGTTGTTTGTGGGTTAATAGTTATTTGTTTATTTGTTTACTTAAACTTATTTGTGTAGCTATGTAGGCTATGCATCCCAACCAAAGCCTTGTCGCTATAGACTTCCGTAATATGCCATCTCGAAAGGCCACGGGGTCTCCTTGCTGCACTCCCTGGCCCCACACCGTACTCCGTGCTTGGCAGGAGCAGAAAGAGCGGCTCTGCGACGTGGAGCCCGAGGCTCCGAGTGGGAGTTGAAGAGTAGGAGGGTTTGGGCTTTTGGCCTGGAGTTCAATTCCGAGGATGAGTGTTGCGTTTCGGTCAAGCCCGCTTTCGGTGCCCTCCGCATGCGGAGATGAACCTTATCCGGATCCTGCCCAAAGCCTGGAGGCTCGTATCCGCGAGCTGATGAAATCGAAGGCCGTTGGAAGGGACCCGGGAAGATTGTGGGTTATGGGACCGGTGGTTGGCTGGTTCATGGCATGATGCGTTGAATCCATCCATAACTTTTCTTGCCTGGTTGAGATGCCTTGCTTTCGAGGCTTTGGGTTTTGGTTGGTGTGATTCCCTGCGTGGTGCTGTGAATGGCTTCATGTTTGTCGCGTTGCTGGCACGAGCTTCAAGGCCCAGGCACGTCGCAGGTAGCAGAAGTGAGGCTACTGATAGTACACCCAGTCTGGAGGAGGTGGTGCCAAGCTTATGCTTTGAAGTTTGGTGTACTGGAGCTGCGCAGGCTCCAGTAATTGTCCTGGACGTGTACTGTGCGCTGGCTCCGAAGGACCAATGCCCGCAGATTGCCCGTCTGTGTACAAATGCCGCCCGTTGATTCCCCTCAGGATCACGCCAAGCGCCACAACTTGGGACCGGTGGTGAAGGCAATGCTGTGTGGAGGGACGTTGTCTGACTGGCCTCCTAGATAATGAAACAGCACAGATATCTTTTCTTTGGCTCATGCCGGCGTCGCTTTCAATCTATCTTGACTGTTTCTAGTGCTTTTGTCCAAGAGGACCACCGTAGCAGCCCGGTAGGTGCTTCGCCCCGAAACCCAAACCAACATCCCTGACAGTTCTTGAACCAAGCTTTCAACTGTTGTGTAGGCCGAGTTTGCAGCGCTTTTGCGCCGGAGTCGAGATGCAGGCGAGGATGCCTTGTATGGGTGCCCAAGATTCGAAACACGAGAGTTCCAAACATGTGGGGTTGAAGAGTCTCCAAGGAGCCCCAAGACGCCCGGGATGTGATTCTTTCGTAATGATGCGTTACCTGGAGCTGTACAGCCGGCAACATGCACATGATGCTAACTCGTGCGCCTGGAGTGTGTATCAGGCGTTCGTATGCCTGCCCTCATAGGAATGGCTAATTATAGATATATCAGTGATGTAACGGTATCTACGGTAGTAGCCAGAATTGCAATCGCATCTCTATTTCACAAAGGACAGGCTGTCCTCTTCCTGGTGGGCGGCGAGCGCCCAGCCCAGCTGGCGCAGAAAGTGTGCGGAACTTACGCTTTGCACAGCATTGCCAAGCACAGGACGGATGAAGGTTTAGGCTGGCTGCTGGAACATATTTCCTCATATATACTGAGATGATTCAAGGTACCTGCAGCCACGTTTCACTTCCATTGGCGGCCTGATGTGCGGGTGACCTCGGGGGCCATGTGGCCAGGGCTTCGGAGGATCGCTGTTTAGGGCTTGCTTTCGGGGCTGGCTCGCTACGTGAGTATGACACGGGGGGATGAATTAGGTACAGCTTGCTAGAGCTCACCGTGCTGCGCCGGGTGCTCGAGCGGTTTTCGATTCTTTGTAACGCCCATGCGGCTGTGCGGGTCCAGGCTCCGCTTGAAGTGTTGATTAGCATGGTTCGATAGCGAGTGACAAGAATCTCGTAACAAGACACAGACAGAGAGAGACAGAGAGAGAGAGGGGGGCCCGTAGCCCTGCCGAAAGAAAGAAAGAGGGAGGGAGAGCGGATGAGAGCGGCACTGCGTTGCAAGGGATTCTGCCTGCCGTGCTTTTGGGAAGGTATCTCCGCTGGAAGCCCGATGCTTCAGCACCTTGGGAGCCGCCAAAGCTGCAGGGCCAGCGGAGGGCCCTTCGGCTTTGTTTCAGATCGTGCTTTCTGTTTGCTGCTGACCTGATTTCTACAATGGCGTTCCCTTCCGGCCTTCGTCTTGTGAGGCTTGTGCCCGTGATGAAAGCGCTAGTTGTCTTCATCTTCTGTTTGTGTTCTGATCATGTACAGTTTTCTACGTATGAATAGATCGTGAGGTCAGTGTAGGTGGGTCTTGTTCTGGATCCCCAGCTGGCGCTAGCAGCGGGTGGTGTTGACGAGTCCGGACCATGTTGGCCCGTTTTGTTTCCCTTTCACTGGAATCAATCCAGCGCACTCCCAGCTGCCTAGTCACTGCCACGATGCCTTGCGGACAAACCTGAAGCCGTTATGCCAGATCCATAGGCCCATGGTATCGCAGGAGCGAACTCCTTAAAGATGGGTCTGCTCATGCGCTGCTGAGATCATCTTTGGCCTACAATTGCCTTGAAGAGCTTGCCACGATGACGCTGAACTGAGTGGGACGGTTTCGGAACAGGGGCATCCTCTCGTATGGTGGTCCATAATATGATTGGTAGACTTGGGGCTTTCTAAGTTATGGTTGAGGCCAGGGTGATGAATCTCCACTAAGGGGGTTCGTGGTTGCACCGAGAGGTGATGCTCCTAGGACGTTCCCGCCAGTCACTCCTCTGGTCCAAGAACTTACACCCTTCGTTGCCGTCACCAGGCCACCCGAATCCCGCACTTTAACGCCAGCTCTTTGGGCGTAGAGTTGTTGTGTCTCCGCCCAAGCCCTGCTTCAATTCCTCGGCCCTTAGGGAAAGCGTTGGCCCTGGACTTGGACAGGAGGGCCAGGTGAGCATCTACCATTAATTCGACAGACGTCTGATGGTCCTGAGAGGCCCACTTTAAATTCGATGCTATGCCTGACTTATGGTTTTTTGATTAATTCGATTCAGCGGGCTGCTCGGCTGTTTCCTGCGCCTGGATGACATGAGTTGGGCCGGATGGATGTCCCTCAAGTGCCAAGTACATGCGCGGAAACTGCCCTGCAGCCTTCCAGGGGTTGCCATGTGGTGCAGGTCGCCCCCTGGGTCTGTTGTGCTTGGTGCCAGGATCTGTGATCCCGCGGCCTCAGCATTTCGATCGTTGAAGCGATTGTGTTGACTAGTTTAGGTCTGCCACCGGGCAGAGTGGACTGCATTGCACGCAGCGGAGCTTACTGGACTTCGGATGCTTGACTGGCATTCGTGGATCGAAGCCCGTCAGCAGACCTCTGAACAAGCTTTGCTTAGCACGTAGCCAGTCTTGCATGGGCTCTGACCTGAGCATCGTGGCGTTTTCGAGTTCCTCCTGCACACATCACGCATTCAGGATAACCAGATGGGGACACTGTTCTTGTATATCTTGGGCTGTTGGTGGTGATGGTGATATTTGTAACATAGGAAATGCTGTATGGATCGTGCATGCCGACAGTTCTCCGGGTTCATCCCCTTCCTGTCCAACTCTCCCACGAGATTCCTCTCCTCAGAGAGTCCACGCCTGGCCTGTACGCAGCTATGTATTTGACTAGTGGTTTCGGACCATGTGCGAGCGAAAAAGGACAGCTGCTGCAATCCCTGTGGGTGTCTCACTCATCGGGAAATACCGCAGCAATCTAAGGTGCCAGAACCTGAACACACATATGGCATCGACTTCCCGGTAAGCACGTCTAGACCAACGCCTCTCGATTCTCTGCAGGGCCCGGGGTAAGGCTCAGAAGTTAGTGAGAGGCGAAGCAATTCAGTATTTCTGGTGGTGTGTCATCCCAAAACCCTGAACCCCCAAGCCGTCATGCAGTGCAGACACCTTGAGCCCAGAACTCTCTAACACATTTTGGCCTTCCTCCGGTCTCTCTTGTTTTGCAGGGATCCGTTCCGGCCTCCCTGGACGAAGCTGCGCTGTATCCCATGGGCCCGGGGCTTGCTCGGATTCGAGTTTTGGGTCGAAGGCTCGAGAGTGTCGAGTTAGGATTCAGAGTCCAAGAGACGGGATGTTAAAGGGGTCTATAGGAGTTTAGGATGTAAGGTCTAGGGTTCAGGGTTAGAGTCGGTTAGGCCCAGGGTCTCGGTTTTTGGGAAGCTCTGGGAAGGCTCCCCCGGCTTCTGAGGCCTGGAGAGCCGCTTTGCTTATCTCTTCGACTCACCGCTCCGCGGCTGGAAGTTGTGCCCGGATTCATGGCTGGCTGTTTCTACCAGTAGTACCTGTGTCAGTCCACCACGTAGCAGCCTTGTTGTGCATCGATCTCTAATGCCAGTGACCTTCGCTTCGACGGAAGCTAAGGACGCGAAGCCATGTCACGACGGCCCTTGCCTCGCAGGCGACAGTGGGCCCATTGAGACTTGAGTCCGACCGGACTTGGAGCGTGCGAGTCGCAGGCAACTGCCGAGGACGATGCAGAGCGTCTCAGAGCACAGTGGGAGGCACATGCTGGAGGGATCTCGGCACCTGCGTTCAGCATCTCTGGTTGAAGGACCTGGACGATTTACACAAGTGAAGTATTGCTCCGTCTCCACCGACTTGGGACCATGTCTGTGGTCTGCAGGTTTTTTTGACAGCTGCATGGCGTATCCCTGACACGGATGGCACACGAGACGTCGCTTGCACCAGCTTCGGGTCTCGCGAGTCATGACCTCAAGGGAGGATTGTCCGACATCCTGAACTAAACACCTCTTCCAGACCGCGACCTTTATGTTGGACAGCTGCAACACCTACTTGCTTTTGATGCGTTGGAGGATGATGACCTCGTCCAGTGGCAGAACCTCACAGAGGCTGCCCCCTGTGAAGGGATCTCCGAGATTCAGCCTTGAAAGGTGCGCCTTTTGGGGGGATCTAACGGTGTTCAGGAAGCAGCTGCAGCTCTGATCACTCAACAGATAGACTCTGGAGATTGCCAGCCACCATCTCTTGGAACGGGCTTTCAGCCGTTTTCATGTCAATGTAATGCCATGCTAGACCATACATGGGACGAGTCGAATATCTCGAGTTCCTGCCGGTAGCAACCACGCCCCCAAGAGTCCAGCCCCTTAAAGTTTGATAATAGAATGATTTTGTAGAAAAAGCACCAAAAAAACCGAACCCTTCCACGAACTTCCCGGACTACCACAAACAAAAAAAAACACTAAAAAAGCGGGCCGGGGGCCCCCCCCAACAAGGCCCCAAAAAGGGGGGGAAAAGGGCCTGGCCTGGGCTGCGGGAGGCCTTGGAGCGCTCCGAGGCCGAGACAGAGATGTGGCGTTGCAAGGCGCGCTCTTTTTTTTTTTTTTGGGGTCTTTGGGTTCTAGGGCGGGGAGAGGTGTCTCTTTTGAGGACACCAAGAGTCTTCTGGGGGGTTTTGGGGGGCGGCTTGATTGAGTTTTTTTTTGAGTTTCGGGGCTTAGGTTTTTGTTTTTCGGGGCGCGAGGGGTTTCAGAAGAGGGTAGTTTGGTTTCGGTGCTAAGATTACCTGTCGTGCTCGGTGCCGCGGGTTTTCGCTTTGGGCTCAGTGTTTCCGGTACAGATGCCTAAGTACGCAGAGCACCTTGCCTAGGGTGTGATGTGCTCCTGCGCAAGGCCTGGCATTCTGAGTCTGCGATTGTGGTGTGATGCGCTCTGCTTTGTGTTTAAACTGACTGTCAGAGTTGCAGGTTGCCGGCTTGAATCAGGTTCGCCTGGAAGTCAGGCAGTCTGCCTAGCAACCAACAGCGAAGAAGCCAAAGTTTGCCAAACCGGGCAGACGATTTCAATAACGGGGGAGGCTTATGTAACTCCTTCGGCCTGCGACGGTCTCGGCATCCTAAGCCTTTCTGCACAGAGGCGGCGGAACTCGAAGATCTCCTCAACATGCAGCGCTCCGGCCTTAGCTTTCTGATCAGGGTTGGTTAAAATGGTTTGGGAAGTAGTTCTCAGCTGCGCCTCTCCATGCAAGTGGAGTTCCCACCCAAGGTCAGATCTCGGAGGAGGCCCTGCATGCGGGGAGCGGGAGATTCAGATTCTCCAATGCTTGACCGCTGAAGCATCGAGGAATGTCCAGGGTGTAGGTCTTCACGGGTTCAGTTGTCGTGGAAGCTTTGACCAAGACCGACAAGCTGTTTCTGGACCCCACAAACTCTGCCCTGAAGAGGCCTCGTCGGAGCGGGTTGGCGCGGTGTCGAACGTGTCGTCTCCCGAGGCCGGGGGTGCTGAGATGCGAAGGACCGAGCCCAGGTGGCCGGGTAAACCCCCAAAGAACCCGAACGACGGATCTCCCGGCCACCGCCAGGCGGATCGTGCACCTGAACGGCGCCGTGTGGAGCCCATGCTTCGTCGTTTTGAGAATTCACGGTTCACGATAAATGGGCTTTGGTCCCAGTGGATTTCTACTCATGGCCAATGTTGAAAGCGAAGGTAGATACTGAGCACCGGCATGCAGCACAGTAGCTCTTTCCGACCTGGTCTAGAGTCTACAGGTGATCCCGTGCCCGAACCCCCCAGAGAATTTAGTTAGGATGTATAGCTCCCATTCTCAGCCAAGATTCCTCCACAGTCGAAGGGCCTTTTGTGAGAGTCAGATCTTCGCAGCTCTCTTCGGCTCGAGTTTGCGCAGTCAGCGAAAGACTGTGGCGAGCGCAGACGCCGCTGACCTTGTGCACATCCCAGAGCATTCCATTCTGGAGCTTTCTTTAGGGTTTAGGGGTTTAGGGTTTGGGGGTTTCGGGTTTAGGGTGTAGGGTTTTGTGTGGATGTTGCAGTCTTGCTACCGATGGTGCTTTCGGCAAGGAGTCTTTGGCAGGAGAGTACATGCAATCTGTGCTGAAGTCTTTGCGACGTGTCTGCTGGGGCTTCTACTACATGCATAAACGACCCCAGCCTGGCTGCTGTGCTCAGGTGTTATGGGTTGCTTGCAGGCCTCTGGACATCAAGTGGAAAAGACACCGCGACAAGACATGCCTTCAGGTGGGCCTTGCTTTTCAAGCTGCCCGGAGTCTGGTGGGTACTGCCTTTTTCATCGTTGTGATACTTGCTTCTGTGTCTGGCTTCGCGCATTGTGCTGTGAAGACTGCCGCACCTGACGGATGGAGCTGCATGGGATGCAGGGCCTCGCAGGGATGTGATGCAGTTCTTCGGGAGCAGTACCATCAGGGGCGAAACTGAATAGTACAGGGCCGTTTCGGGCCTTTCATTGGTGATAAAATGTATCGTGACTGTAATGGACCAGCTTCTCCTTCTGGTTGGAGCTTCTCCTTCTGGGCGCTTCGAAGCCCCCCCAAAAAAGGAGTCGTCACGGGCGTGGAGGTCGAGTGTTAAGATGCTTCAGAGAGGCAGCATGCTTCCCGCAGCTTCCGGTGTAGCTTTAAAACTTTAAAGATCTGACGACTCTGTGTGTGAAAGGAGGTGATGCAATCCTTCGCAAAGCAGTAGAAGAGGGTCTGAACCCAGCTTCCGTCTTTCTGCCATTGAAGCTATATTTTATTGAGTCAGCGACCATGTCGATGTCGTACCCCTGGAAGCTGCCACGGTGGCAAAGCCCAATGTACCTGGAGAAGGGTTTGGGTGTGGGTTCAAGAGGTGGATGTCACACATCGGCTGTCGCGACGACAGCCGGGTGTGCTCTCAGACGTGTTGCAGAGTGCCATTGCAGAGCTTGGTAGCACCCTGATGCTTCACTGCAGACCTGCAAGTTCTTCTACGAATAAGAGCTTCCGGCTCACATTCCATCCAGAATGCAGACGCTCGCAACCCCAAACCGGACCAAGGAACAGCCTCGGCCCGACAGCCCCAAACCAGGTGGAGCATCATCTCCCCCCAAGTACGGTGGTCGCGATGCCGATCCGGACAAGCCCATCGTGATGGGGAAGCTCCCCGGTTCACTCAGGAAATACATCGTAGGGTTTGGACGCATCTAATCGACCGAGGTAAGGCACAGAAGGCGGCAATGAAGGTTTTGGCAGGCTGTCGAGAGCACCTCCTTACCGGAGTGCTGTCGGACCTGGCCATGTTCCAGGGTGCAGTAGCTGAAGTGTGCTAACATCCTTGATTACTTGTGAACTTCAAGTGTTTTGCGCCCCTTGATCCCTAAGCAATGCCTGAAGTTTGCAGCATTTGGCCCAGCGAAGGTACAAGATGAGCATGAACAAATCAGATCTCCTGGGAGAGGGATCCTCTTCCATATGCCGCAAGGCACGTCTGAAGAGAAACAAGCAAAACCAGCTAGCTCTCGGGCGCACCTCCCCCAAAGCCCACCCTCCAAGAGTGCAAGTGGTAGGGACGAGGCTTTAGCGGGTCTTCAGCTGGCATTGAGGGAACCAGTCTCGCAACAGGTCGGCCTTTTGGCAAAATTGCGGCAGTGTTAGTCTCAGCAATTTACCACTCTGAATGCCTACTCCGGGCCCTCTGACTTTCCTGGGAAAACTACTGAAGACTTCCGAAGTCACCGGGCTGCAAGGGCATCGACATGGAGACGGGCCAGGTGCCTTGAGCAAAGCACACAGAGTTGGTATGTCTATGCTGCGCTATTTAGGGGGTCGACAGCGGTGCTGTGTGGAGGACGTTCGGATTATGACAGACTTCAGGTAAGGTCTTGCAGGAGCATGCTGTTGTGTCGACTTCCCAACATGTCCAGGGAACAACTCCGGGTTGGCCACGCAGCTCAGGAAGTGGCAATCAAAGTCTACAAGCTTGCCACGAAATCGGTGAACAGCTCCGAGGCCTGCGTCATTCAGGGCGTTGTCCCCGTTCTGAAACATGAAGCCCTTAGCCCTCAAACTGAGCTGAAGATTCCTTGGTCCCTGCTAGCTACCATGTGCCGACGAGTTCAGACATCGAGTTTCTGCATGGAGGAAATCCGCCTCCAGAAGTTCAAGCGCCAGATCCAAGTGCTGAAGATGACCTGGCCTCAGCTCTCGGGAGGGCCTCTATAGAGATTGGACGAGACGACCAGGATTCCATGCCTGAAGGCTCACCCCTGAAATTGGGGTGTCAGGTGTAAGAACTACTGTATTCATTGACAGCTGAGATGTACGTAGGCTGTTGATGGATCTTGGGCTTTTGAGCCTTCAGCTTTAGGATGCCTGATGCCTCCAGGCGAAAAAGTTCGGATTGTCGATCCTAGTCGCAGTTTCTTCCAGCCCGCTTCGCTCTCATTATCCGTTCTTTTCTTGCAACCTCCCTTTGAGTGCCCCTCCATGAGCTCCGAAGTCTCAAACACCGAAACTTGTGCACCTGGCAATGAGGGCAATGCGAAAACCACGCATGAACCGGATCGCCAGGCTCCAGGAAGCCTTCGTGGTGCCCAAGGCATCCAGTCTTGCGGCTTTTGCCGTCGAGTGGGGTTATATTAAGATATATATATATATACTATAGTATAATATAACATAACATAATATAATACAATATAATATAATATAACATAATGTAATATAATATATTATAGTATATTATAGCATATTATAGTATATTATAGTATATTATAGTATACTATAGTATATTATAGTATATTATAGTATTTTATAGTATTTTGTAGTATATTATAGTATATTATAGTATATTATAGTATATTATAGTATATTATAGTATATTATGGTATATCATATTATATTTATAGTATATTATAGTATATTATATTATATTATAAACCTTGAAGTTCGGCTTGCAATTTTCGGGCCGAGGATTCGGTTATTGTTGTGGCAGTTTAGGGTCCGATTTCCATGGCAGGGTGAAGCTCTGCTCCGGTCCCGGGGCTTCCGAACATCTTCAGACCCCTATGCTGCCATGGGCTCGAAGAGACTGCTGCCCTTTCGGATTGAAGTTGCCGGCAGGATCAGACACTCTGGCATCCTGATCTTGCGAAAGCGACACCGTCCAAGCTCTTCATGATGCTGTTGGACTACTCGAAGGTGCCCTGCGGTTGGTGGCCTGCGGGGATGAGGGCTCGTTTAAGTCCTTATGGCTTTGTCTCGGCACGTGAAGGTGTCGGGCGTGTGGGGTCGTTTTGGCTCGCTGCCGAAAGCGAGACGTAATTGAAGTGAACAGAGCTTGCTGCCAGGACGACAAGGGCGAGCCCTCCCCAGATCCCACAGACGGCGTGATGTACGTCATCACAGAGGTTGCGCAGTACAGCTTGAAGGACCAGAACTGTCCTCTTGGGCCAAGAACTTTCGAATTGCGAAGTTCCAGGCTGAAGCCAGGACTTGGACTTCGGCTGTTTGTAGACATTCGAAGGTTGGCCTTGTCGTGGGCTGAAGCTGCATGTATGGCATCACTTGGTCCGGGGGAGCTTTTGAAGCTTTGTACGCAATGGCATTGACCAGTGCAATTGGAACTCCACATAAGGATCTCGAAAAAGCTTCCCCAAAGCGTTCTTACCAAGCTCGAGGCCTGCAAGTCCCAACCGCAGCTGTCCTGTACCTTTTTTCCCTCGAGCTCGCGCAAGAGCTGAATGCTGAATAGTCCTTACGCCGAGCCTTCCTCGCGGCTATGTCGTGGGCCTCGCTTAGCTTGCGTCTGGTGGGCCCTCCAGTTTGCCACGATGCTTGCTGACGGCCCCGCTTCTGGGCTGAATGCCTTGGGTACTCTCGGCTTAGGCTCCCGTCTGGGCAAGCAGTAAGATCTGTCTGGCCCCGGAGTCGAAGGAGGTCGCAAAGCAGTCAGAAATCCCGGCTTACGGGGCAGGCATCCTCTTGCTTGCCTACAGGGTTGAGTCTTGGGTCTTGAACTGTGATGCAGCCCTGGGCCTTCACTTTTGCCGCCAGATTCCAGAAACTCTCTCGTCCGGCTGGTGAGTATGGGTCCAGGGTGCCACTGGTGTCAACATGGTACATGACGATGTGACGTCGCATGCGAGAAGGACATTCCCTCGTGTCGTAAGGATCGGAGCAATGATCCGACCGGCCACTTCCCGGGCGCGCAAGAAGAAGGCCGATACGCTTCCCCACCCTCGAGACAGAAGTCCCTCCTTTTCTTCACATGACTTCGGCTTAGCAGCTAGAGTAAGACCGAGGACCCAGAAAGCTGTCTCTCAGGTTGTCTTTCCGACAAAAGCTTGTCGTCGTTCCCCCTTTGCGGGCTCTGTCTCGGAGTGCCTGCTGGGAGGCGCTCGCACAGGATGACCCGAAGCGCTTCGCACCTTAGAGGCGGCTTAATGGCTTCATACTTTTTTTGAGCCCGGTGAGTCCACACAAGGCACACCTCGTCGTTGCTTTGCTTTCTGAGACCTCGCATGTCGGGGTGCAACAGCTCAGGTATCCATCTTTCGTGAGCTGCGCTTCAAACAAGCATGGACGGATGCGCTCGACGCACGGCCTTTCGAGTTGCGGTACACCCTCATGAGTCATGAGCTTCAACAATGTGGAATGGTTCTTGGATGATGGGTTTTGAGTCGAGCTGAGGATGTCCTCTCAAGCATGCGGAGCTTGCGTGTCGAGATGAACATTATCTGCATCTCGACTTGGGATGGCAGCTGTGCGCATCACATGAAGCCCATGAGTACCTGAAATGGCTGTGTGCATTTCAGTTTACGGCTTGACCCAGGTTCCGACATGTTCTGGAGCTTCGAAAGTCCCAAACCAAAGCATACCCAAGGCCTCCAAGCCGACCTCACCCACCAAGGGCTTATGCACACTAGAAACGCCTCCTCCACCCAAACCCAAAATATCAAAGCCGAAGCCCAAAGTTTAACAAAAACCCAAGGCCCCCAAGGCCTCAAAGCCCCAAAGCCCCAAAAGGTTTCGGAGCAGCTCTGGGCGTGTGTGAAAGAGCCGGCAGGTGCCTGCGGACAGAGAGCACGAGTTCAGGGGCTTGAGGGTTTGGGGCTCCTGGGGTCAGGGTATATCGGTTTAGGTTTCCGGGGCTAGCGGTTGAGTGTTAAAGGGTTAGAGCCGTAGGTGCTCTGGATTTCGTGTTGCTGTTTTTTGGCAAAGGGCTCGGGGGAGGGATGCTGTGTGCATGCGGCCTTGGTTTGAGCTCCACTTAGCGTTGGTATCCAGTATGGTTCCCCTACATAGGATTTGCCCGATGCAAGGCCCAAAGGACAGGACGAGCCAGTGGCGAGGTACGCAAGGAGAAGCAGGAGCGACTCCAATGATAATGAACTCAGTCGAAGTCATCAGTCGAGACCACTGGGATCAAGACTTACTGACTAGTCGAGCTCCCAAGGCGACAGCATTCGGAGCACCCCATCCAGACCCGAACTGCTGCACCCCAACTGGTTCTTAGCCTTTGGACCCAGCATCGCTACTTTGGACTTTGAAGGTGGTTGGACTCTGTGGAAGTTCTCCGCACGGTGTCCACGCGTGCTGTGGAGACGTGCCTTGTCCAATGGCCTTGAGCCCTCCAACGGCGGCATGCGTTGGACCTGTAGGCTTTTGCGGGTCTAGAGACTGGATGAGTATCTTGTGACTTCCGAGCTAGCCTACACGGAGCAGGGCATCTGTGGCTAAGGCGCTTCGTGTTGGTTTGGGGTTTAAGGTTTAGGTTTTAGGGAAATTTGGATTTTGGGGATTGGGGGTTTGGGTTACGGGGTGTGCATACACCGTACATGTATGTGTGTGTGTGTGTGACGTGTGCATACACATAATTGTGAGCTGCATGGCTGCATGTATGGACCCAGTGCGGTCTGCGGCTAAAATCGGCCAGGCAGGCTCGGGGTCGGGGCCCTGCACACATGGGCAGGGTGGGCCATGGGCTTATGTTTTTCGTGCCGTGGCAGCGTCACTTCCACCCCACAGCCCGGAGCATGCAAAGGGCAGAGTAGGATCAGGGTACAGCAGGGTTGGGAGTGTGGGTGGGGCAGTGCAGAGCAAGGCAGGGCAGATACGTGCAAGTGCCGTCCCTGTGCGATTTGTTGGGAGACTCTTTGGAAAAGCAGGGTGGCTGCCATGATGACTATCTTAGTGCACAGTGGTGTTGGTGCTCGATGTCGGGGATTGCCTAATCCACCCCAAGGCGCAAAAAAAGCAAGTTCACGATCCGGAGGGTGCTGCAGCGTACCCTATGCGGCCGTTTGTACGCGGAATGTTAAATGGCTCATATATATATATACACACACACACGCATCCATAACATATCATACATGACATAACGCATCATAACACAACATAATATGACATAACACTACATAACAGAACAGAACATAGCATAGCAGAACACAGCACAACATACCATACCATAACATAGCATAGCATAACATAGCATAATACACCATGGCATAACATATCATACATATCATAACATAGCAAAACACAGCATACCATAACATAACTATAACATAACATAGCATGGCACAGCATAGCACATCATAGCATAGCATAGCACATCATAGCATAACAGAACATAAAATAGCAAGCATAAAGTAACACATAATATACATGCACATAAACAAACGGACATGTACACACATATTGTGCACATAGTCAAGCAATAGGTGTCATTTGTATGTTTCCACAAATGTGATTTGTGTGTTTTGGGAGAGCGGCTCAGGGATTTCTCCAATGGCGGCGTTTTCGGGGATTCCAGGCTCTTAAGGTAAAGTTTCCAGGTCTTGGCGGTTTGAAAGTTTCGAACACTGTCTCGGCTGCACAAACTCACAATGGAAGCTGTGGCATCAAGTTTATGCTTCAGGCTGCAGACATCCTCCAACTCCCTTCTTTCATGTGTTCCATTTGTGACAACTAACTCTGATCGCGCGACCTAAGCCCACAAATCAGAGAGCCTGCAAACCCAGAAAGTTCGGAAGCCCAAACAACCCGAAAAACAACGGGGCATGCTCTGCACATAGGCAGCCGCTCTACAAACGGTTGCCAACAACATCCGAGATTTTTCGGCTTCCGTAGATTTGGCTCCTGTTGGCTTTTCCTTCTCGTTCAATTTCCTTTTTGTGCACCTCTTCCGCATCACTCCTCGCCGCCCTTCGCCATGCAGCATGCAACTACTTGTTAAGCATTGCAACAACAGCGCAGCAGCAGTAGAACGACACGTGAATCTGCAAAAGCGGCCCTGCCACCTTGCGTCTCTGTGTGATTTCGTGCTTGTATTGATTGTGTTTTGGTGTGGAGCTGGGCAACCTGCTGAAGCTTTGGCATCGACCTTGTGTGCCCTCGTCGCCAGCGTCTCTACACGCTCTAGACTCTAACCGCTCTAGCCACTACGCTGCTTGCCCTGGCTTTCGCGGTTTTGTGTTAATTAAAAGTTGTGGCGATAGAGTTTGACGGTGCAGACGGGAGGCAATTTGCGAAGGCACGGGAGGCGCTAAGTGTTGACTCCAGCTCGTCCTCTTGGAATGTCATGCTTGCTGCTTGCTGAGGAGCCTTGTTGCCTTCAACACTGCCATCTCCTCCTGCGAGCCGCTTGTCCGAGGTATGGACCTGCCTGTGCAGGATAGTGGAGGGTATGTCTTGCTCTTGTTGTCAACACACAGTTTCCCAGCCCCTTAGAAGCAGCAGTTTGACACCAGACTCGGATTGATTCAGAATTTTTTCTCCCCATGAACTTTCTTCAAACTTAGAAATCCGAGACGAGGGACCCCTCCGTCCCCCAATTTTCGGAGCTCCCGTCCCCCAAGCTCCCTCGGCTCAGGAAAGGCAGGTCCTGGCCCGAGGGCCTTGGGATCCTCGCCACAGCAGGCCAGTGACGATGCTGGCACTGGAAACAGATATTCAGACGATAGTAACTTTATATCCATTGTTAAGAGAATATCTTTTAAACAATAAAGCATTTCTAGACCTTTGCGGATGAAAACAATCGCGATGGAAGCAAAGACATCACATGTAAGCATCGGGCAAGGCTGATGGACATGGTACGTCTTGCAAGCGCAGCTCCAACTTTACGACTCGTCGTCCTTTCGGTGTCGTAACAGGTCGTTTCGCGGGTGCTAGGTAGATCCTTCCAGTCTCCGATCCCTTGCATCGTGGAGAGCTCGTGGGGCAACAACCCCTTGTGAAACCTCTCCATCGAACAGATCCGTGAACGCGGCAGAGTGGCAACCAAAGATTTTGGAGGTCATCACACCCTGAGCCCTGCGCTCGTGGCTCGCAATGCAGCCCTTGCTGGCTGCGCTCGCACTGGTGCCGACCACAGATTTCGCAGAGAAAGTGTGACATGTCTTAGGATGAGTAGGTGGGGATTGGTTTA